ATTGAGCATATCCAGGATTTCATCAGTCGGCGTCTTGCTTGTACGGCTGATTGGGCACACAGTATGACTGAACTTTGACTTCAATTCGAAGTCATATGGAATGCCACTCCCAAATGTTACATTCAGAGTCTGAGTAAATGCTACGACATGTACGTACAGAGCGCAAAAAAAGAAATATATATATATATATACAGTGAATTCGCGATAACTCGAATCTGAAGGACTGACGAAAAACTTCGACATATCGGAAGTTCGACTTACCGTTAGTTTCGGTTTTGGACTTTCAAAATATTGTCGGATTATTTAATTAATGCTTATTAATTACAAATCTTCTAAACGCTTACAATATTTAAGATCATTTTTCTGACAAGCCATTTACGATAAGACTGTTTGAAGCACTTTATGATACCCTGGTCCATCGGCTGCAACTTTGCTGTTGTGTTTGGCGGGAGAAACTACAAGTTTACTGCTTTCAAATTAGGTAGATCACTATGCGCTGTGCATTGATCTATAAAGAGTATCACTTTTCTTTTTTTAGCGAAGAATTTCCGATCCAATTTTCTTACATAGTCTTCAAATAAAACTGATGTCATCCAAAACTTTTTGTTAGACTTGTAATCCAAAGGATACGTTTTTACATTCTTGAAACATCGGGGATTTCGGTATTTTCCGATAGCAAGTAAGGGCAATTTCTCCATCCCAGACGCATTTCCTCCAACAAGGACAGTCAAACGTTCCTTGCTCATTTTACCCCCTGAGCAGTTTTCATCCTTAAACATCATAGTCTTATTTGGAAGACATTTAAAAAATAAACCCATTTCATCAATATTGAAATCATAATTTTGATTGTATCCTTGAAGTAAATTTGGTAACGTTTCATTTAANAATTAAAATTCCATTTTACTACCACTATGGAAAATCATCTTAATGGTTCCAGGAAATGACCTCAATTGGCTAATTATTCTGTACTAAACTATTCAGTTAGGGAATCTGACGCAAAAATATACTTTCTCTGATTATATATATACATATTTGGATTCTTAACCTTAAAGATATAGGGGGTAGCCGCAATTAGGGAAATTTGGTCCCCATAGTTTGATCAGGAGCCCTTAATATTAATTTCAATTTGTGCGTTTTTACTCATATTTTTAAAACTAATTAAGCAATTAATAAAAATTGCACCCACTCATAAAACCCGTTTAATGAAAGATAATTTCGTGCAATATATAATTTGAAATAATTTTTTATTTTTTATTATTTATTTCTGGATGAAAAAATTATGATTTATGAGGAATAAATTTTTTATACGACGTTAATCTACATATTTTTTTCCATTGAAAAATCTAAAGTTTCATCTGCTTTTTTTTTAAGTTGAAGACGAGGAAAATTAAAATTATCTTCTAAAAGTTAATTTGGTGAAAATAAAGAAATATTTAAATGGGGCGATTCATATTTAAATGCGGTTANTGTATGGAATAAATTATGATTTATGAGGAATAAATTTTTTATACGACGTTAATCTACATATTTTTTTCCATTGAAAAACCTAAAGTTTCATCTGCTTTTTTTTAAAAGTTGAAGTCTTCTAAAAGTTAATTTGGTGACAATAAAGAAATATTTAAATGGGGCGATTCATATTTAAATGCGGTTAACTCACGAGGTTAACTTATGCGGTTAACTTACGCGCGCTCTGCGTAAAATTTCATAATATTTTTTTCGCTAATGGCCGATTGCTAATCTTTTTTTTTTTAATTATAAAGTACGATGGTTCCTTTTAGTAGTCTAAAACTTTATTCGTAATTCAGTAAATTAATTTGAATAAAACATTTTATTCCACGAATGTAGAGTTTTATAAAAGCATGTTTCTGATAGAATGCGATTATACATCAACTTTTTTTAATTTTAATTTTTAGTTCATTTTTTCAATAAATTGACACAATTTCAATAATATACACATGTGTGTATAGATTTAGAATATACTTATCAATTTCTCTTATACTTATCTTATAATTTTAATAAGAATACGATACGTAGTCAACATTTTTAAACATCTTAAAATTTCTCAACACCCTATATATAATCTTAATGTTAAAATAAATTTTTTAATTACCTGTCCGAGCGTGTTTCGCAGAATTATTTTAATAATTATTTAATCAAATTTTAACATTTTTAGAAATCTTATCCTTTACGCTAACGCGTATATTATTTTTTCATTAATATACTAATCAATTTTTTTAGAACTTTAAGTTTTCCTTTAAAGTAAAATTCCTTTTTAAATTGCCAATATTTATTAAAAGAAAACTTTTGCTAGCTAGTTTAAAATAGTGTTAGCTAGTTGAAAATTAAGTCTTGATAAAAAATTAAAAACATTTTGTTGCTTAAAATTATTCGATGCAAAACGGCTGACTGTTTACTAAGCATACTATTTTTTTTTTCGAAAAATGAAGATCAGTTATTGTCTTTTATTATTGTTTTTTACATATTTGAGTAATGAAAATTAAATGCATGCGCATAGCAAAAAAATGCAACAGACTACTGTTTTTTGAATGAATAAAAATTATGGACATACATTTTTATTTTGACATTCCCACTTATTCTTACCCGCTAACTTTGAAAACGAAAGTTGCCCTTTTAAAAAGATTAATGTTGAAAAAACTTGCTTAAAAAAGTTATTATTTCTCAACATTAGCACAGTTCAAAAAATACTGTAATTTCAGGAAAATATGCTTTAATTTGATAAACATCAAATACAAAAAATAGAAAATTGTAAAAACATTCTAAAATCACGATCATCTCAACTGTGACCTTATTCCTCTCAAAAAAATACTCTTTCTAAATTTAGAATTTCCTTAATACTAAAACAAGATATATTAGGAGAATTTTTGAAAACAAATTATTTTATAGCTGTAATTAATATGTTCAGGAAATAGTTAATACATTTTTTTTTAGAAATTAAAAATAGAAATTGTTCTCTTATTTCGCCGTAAAAAAGAATGTTTCATTTATGCTCAATTGAAACGCGACAATGATCTAATTGACTCCAGAATTAAAATCTGTTTGGATGCAACATTTAATTGTTTGAAACAGAAACAAACTTATTAAAATTATTAGAAATTAAACCGATTCCTTTATTTTCTGTAGAACGGCAGGAAAGATTAGGAAAAATAACCACATTTATTATCATATTTATTATAATTAATATATATTAATATATTATTACTTGAGTAATTTAAGCAAAAAAATAAAATAAAGGGTATTATATAAACCCTATTGAAATATGTCTAAGTATACACTAAGACATATCTAGAATAGATTTTGGATCGATGAATAAAAAATATATTTTCCAAAAATTTCAAATAGGGCAGAGACGTTAACTTGTTCGAAATAATTCACATTTTAACTACTTAACTTTGAACCCAGGAGAGAGGGGTCATTCTATTGTCTCAGACTTTTGAAATTTTAATTGTCGGTTGATTTGTTTAACATCCTAAAAATGTTTTTCAGGGTAGCCGTCAAAAAACAAACAAAATAAAATGAATTAAAAAACAGAAATTTACTGGTTTGAATATTTTGCTGTTGAAAGTATTGATAAAATATATATATTTTCTTTCAACCTAGGAGCCATAACTATTGGTTACGCAAAACTAATTTTAATATCGTGGTAAGTATTGTAATTTACTGTCTCACTAAACGAATCCCCAAGAAACTAAAGTGGGAATCTTTAAAGTAGGATTTCTTAAAATGAAAATAAAAAATATGAAAATATGGAAAAATGTTTTGAGCACCCAAAAACAGGCACCGATTTTTAAGACTCGGAAGATTTGAATAAAGGAAACTGAAGTTATTTAAAATAAAAAAATACATGGTTGCGAACGAAAAATGGAAAACTAGAGAAACCGCGGTTGCCGAGAGTGAAACAGGGAATGAATTCCTTGCCAATCAAATCCTGACCATATTGCATAAACCAGACTGGTTTTAAAATGTCATACCTGCCAACTTTTACGCATTTGGCGTAAAATTTTATTTCCATATTTAAAGTGGTAGTAAAATGTATGCATTCTATATATTCCTATCATTTAATTTATAATCTTTTCGACAACCACTATTTTTAAAAAAATTAATATATATTAATATGTAATACTGTCGTGGTAGTTAGCCTAAGCTTTTTCAAAATACAGCGCATGTTTCTGCCGAAAATTTTGATTAAAATTCCATTTTACTACCACTATGGAAAATCATCCTCGATAGGTTTAAAAGTTGGCAGGTACGAAATGTAGACTAAAAGAACACTGCAGATAAGTCCCTTTTTAAGAATTCGATAAATTTAATCTCAACAATGCCAAAATCCTGTCAGCCCCTGATACATCAGCTCATCTGGATACCCGGGAATCTTGTTTTATTCATATGAATGCGGATTCCTTTGTTAACGATATAAGCTTCACCACACTGCTCAAGGAAATGCATTTTGCTCTGATTTGCCTTTTCCGGCTATAGTGGTTTTTTGATTTTTTTAAATTTTTATTTTCTATTTCCCTCCTCGGGTACTGCCGTTTTCCCGTTTTTTCCCTGGTTTACCTAAACTTTTCTAAACTTTATAATACCAACGGAAGTGGAATAGATTTTACCATAAAAGCTTCTTCCTCTGATATAGTCTTAACTGTGATTCATAACCTGCGATTCATAATGCATAGGTTTCCTTTGCATAAATATGTTTGATATAAATGTAAATATAAGGTGGGGGGGGGGGAACCCTGTTTTGGGAAACTGACAAGCATTTGTGATCTAATTTTTTTATTCTTTCAAAGGATGCTATTTTGTTTAGACTCTGAAAATAATGCACTTAGACTTGATAGATTTTAGTGATACATTTCAAATCTGTTTTTTTTTTTTAAAAAAAAAGAAATTAAGCTATTTTGTTAAAAGAAAGTTCTTTTTCAGCAAGATAGTTCAAAATTAAAGCATCTCAAAAAGTGGAAAAGCTTTGAAAAATACAAAAGAACTTAAAATGAAGATTATTTATTGAAAAACATTGGATTTAAAAACATTGTATTTAACATTGAATTTAAAAAGATGAATGATTTTCAATCCATCCCTTAAAATGAGAGATCCTAGTAAAAAGAGCTGGAAAATTGCAATCATTCCTGTTCCATGTTAGAAGTCCTATTACTTCATATCTTTCATTATGCTTTATTATCAATGGAGCACCAGAATCAACCTGAAATGACAAAGTTTATATATAAAAAAAGATTTTATGGCCCTCAAAACTTTATAAAAATTCTTTTTATACTTTCCAAAATTTCTCCAGCAGATAAGCTAACATTCATTTTACTTAATTCATTCAATTAAGCAATTTAAAGACATTCATTTAACCTGTTAAGCGTGTTTAGTATGTATACACGTCGGACCAAATCAAAGTATATACTTTTGTAAAATAAATTACCACTGAGTATTGAAACTCAAAATTTCAATAAGTTTTTTGGTGTATTTCTTTATATTACCAATAAGGAACAGCTAATTATTTTATATTGCGATATCTTTGCCCAAAACAGATTAGCACACACAAGATCTAAATTCCAATTCTAATATTCTAAATCTAATATTCGAAAATATTTTGGGATGCAATATATAGCTTACATATATCTGTTTAAAGCAATACATTTGTTTACAGCGTGGGTTTCCGCTCCAAAAATACAAAAGCGATAAAATGTTATTATAGACTTTTTCTGTTGTGCTCACAACCAATCACATTTCAAGAAATTCAATAGTAAAATATTTTCTAAAATTCTGCTTTGGTAAAAGTTTAGAATTTTTTTTTACCAATCAAAAAAGAATATTTAAGTATAATGTAAATTTAAAAAAGAAAAATATCGTGATCGTGGAAAAAAAATTATAATCTTTTAAGTAAACAGTTTACGCGTTGGAAAGTAAAGTGCATCTCAACAATATCAGGATTAATAAATAAAAAAAGTTAATCGAAAATAATCTAGGATCTTTCTCAAATAGGTTCTCTCTTGATCGGTCACCTTTTTTTACTTGAAAGCGCAACTTCAAACTGTATAATTTAGGATGACGCACTAGGCAGTTTTGACTGCAGATTAAGCTAAATTTTTGTTTCGCGCAATACCTGTCAAAATAAAAATGCAGATTAACTAACTATATATACTGCGTCTTTTGTGCATATGAAAATGAACAATTTGTTAGCAAAATAAGCATTTTATTTAGCTTAATCACATATCAGAGATTATTTCTATTTGAAAGCTTTAAGCGAAAGAAATAGAGTTATTTTAAAAAAATAGCTATATGCACGATGACGAATGAGTTTATTAAAAGTAAAGATTGTAATTGCACTTATAGATAACGAAGCAAACTATGTTGAAATTGCACTGAACAAATCAAATAAACTTTTTTTGCGCATGTTTAAACTGGATCTGTAATGATTGTTAACAAATTCTGCGCAAAAATACTTTTAATGAACGAAAAAATTGAGGAACATCACATATCTCCATTCACAGTCTGTCTATAATTTTAGATTAGTGTGCCAGCTAAATTACTGTTTATTATTTTCGGGTGTGCCAATTATTATTTTTCTTATAGAAAATAATCTCTTATCTGTCTTACTTTGATTTCAAATTCATGTATTTACAGTTATCACAGTGTAAACATGTATATCTAAATAGTCTAAAAGAAAAAAAAAATGAAGCAATATCTCATTTATATGTTGAGAAAAGGTACACCATAAAAGGTCAGTTATAGCATTATAAGTATATGACCTACCGACTCCCCTTAACTCTATTCTGTTCTATTTTATTCTTGGGATTCCTTTTGATAGATGAAGGCTGACATTGTCGGTAGCCTTTAGCCCACACATTTGAGAAAAATTATTCTACAATATTTTACTTCATTTTCTACTTTTTAAAAAAGAAGGGTTTTCGAATATTACTCTACCATCGAGAGGGAAGATATACTTACATTACACATGACGTCTTCTGTCCTAGGTTCAGTACACAAAATATCGCCAATTCCTTTAGAACATTCCCTTGATGACAGAACTAAGAGCTTTTCTTCTATTTTACTTGCGGCTTAATAAGAAAGAGAAAATTCAGAACAATTTCTTTTTTACAGAAACATTTTTTAAAGAAATAGTCAAATGACTCAATTTATTATTTAAAGTACAGAGAAGCTATGGGGTAATTTATTGAGCTGGCAGGAAAGTAATTTTTGTAATGTGAAATAAAACCAAATTTATTCTACACAAAAATGAACATTTATTATTCAATTATATCTTCCATTTATCTTTTTGGTATGCTCATAATTACTAGTCCTTATCAGTCACAACTAAATGCAGTTCGAAATCGCTGTAAGAAATTTATACCATTTAAAACTTTTGCTAACTTCGAAACAGAGCCGCGATGGCTCAGGGGATAGATCGTTCGCCTTCCAATGAGGCGAACCGTGTTTGAATCCCAGTCTATACGAATTCCGCATACGGCTTGCACCGACCACAGTGCTGACGTGAAATATCCTCAGTGGTAGACGAATCATGGGTTAGACTCCCTTTGCTGTCAGGCTAACCGTGGGAGATTCTCGCGGTCTTCCTCTCCATGTAGCGCAAATACGGGTTAGCTCCATCAAAAAGTCCTCTACGAAAGCAAATTTCTCCCAATGCTCGATCCAGGAGTTCCCTTGTCTTCTGGATTGCTCTCAAGACTGCAAGGCTACGGAATTGAACATTAGTAGTCGTAAACCCATAAAATTAGGTGGACAGTTCAACGACGGTTATAAAATAAAGCTTCGAAACAAGTGATAAACCGATAGTGCAAACCCGGGTGACATCACTTCGCAATCAAGCTCCAATAATAATTCAATATGTATTGTTATAGATGTATGAGCCTTGGTGGAATACTATTTCTTTGCTACTCTCATTTAGTCTTGCACCATTTATCATTTATTTCGAAGTTTAAGTAACTTTTTAAATGGTAAAAATTTCAGCAATAACAATGACCTGTTGAATTGTTGAGTTTTTCTGCTGATGAGGACCAGAAGTTCTATGAGCGAGGGTTACTAAACAGAAGGCAAAAGATTATTCTACAAAATGTAATATATTTGACTGACAAAAGTTCATTGTTTTCTGAATAGAAAACAGTCTTATTTCACTCCAAAAATCTGAAATTACTTTCCTAATCGTTTAAAAAATTAAATCCATATTACCCTAATCTATTTGATTAAAATCCTAGGATTGACATACATCTTTAACAATATGTATGGAATTATTGGAGCTTGATTGGGAAATCATGTCACCAGGTTTTTCAATCTCGGTTTATCACTTGTTTCGAAGTTTGCAAAAATTTTAAATGGTATAAATTTGTTGGAATGATTTCGAACTGCATTCAGTGATCACATGTTTCAGTTATCGCATGATTCGATGATTGAACTGCATTCAGTCAAAAATTTTATAATATCGGACAACTAAACTGTTGCCTCAAGGTAGAAATAAGCATGATAAAATCCCTCGGAAGAACAACCCTGAAGGTAAATTAGGAAATAACCTTCATTTGCTAAAGAAAATTAACTACAACTCTTAAAGCAAAGCTTTCATCTTGCACTGGTGTGCAAAATATAAGGATAAAAAAAATCAGAATGAGCAATATCAATAGCGGAAGACCAACTACGTACATTAAAATGCTAATTCTAAGAACACCCTGAATAACTTGCTTTATGTATCGTATGCAATGGCTCAGAACGCTGACTAAATTTGCTAATTAATTAATGCTAACTATTATCTTAAGAAAATAGTCCCCAAAGCATACTTTCTCTGAATAAACATAACTTTTTTTTGTGGATTTGGATTCTTGAATATGAGAGTGGGTTGCCGAAATCTGGAAAATTTGGTCCCTATCCCAATAGTTTAGTCAGGAGAGTTATCGAAAGAAGTTATTTTTGCGTTTTTCGCCATACACGGGTAACTTTAAGTGAATCGAAAATTTTTCACACAATAAGAAAACTAATGTATATAAAAATGTTACCATGCAAAAAAAAAAAAGCTTTCAATACTTAATTTTTTATCTTACTTAACGATTGTCAAAAAATCCCTTGAATTTTAAGGTATAGGTACACCAAAACAGGAGATGAACAATAGAAACGAATGAAAGCAAATTTTCTAAATTGGACTGAAAGAAGATTTAGTCAAATTTAGAAATATATTTTAAATTTTTGCCGATATCTATGTTTTAAACAGTGCAAATTTATAAAATGTTCATTTAAGTATAGTAGTATAGTCTCGTCAAATAATTAAAAGAAAATTATTAATCAATGAAAGGTATTGTCGTATCATTTTGTTGCATACAATTTTAGGTCTAACAGAATTTTTTAAAAGTATTTTTCTTTAAAGAAGTTTTTTTTTTAAAAAAAACAATCTACCAATAAACAATCTAATTAAGCAATAAAAATTCTAACTTTCACACAAATTTCAACTTTTTCGAATTTCTTTTATTGGCTCAAATATTTATTGGCTCAATTATCATCACTTAAGATTTTTATATGTATAATACTTAGACTAATAACAATTGCCATAATTCTACTGGTATGACATAGCCAATCAATTGCAAATAGGAAACTAATGGTGTTGCTAAAAATTTCTTGAAAATTCTCCGAGGGTACATTTCAATTCGACTGTAATTTAAACAGACAGATTTTTTTATCCTTATTCTTTTTAAATATCTAATACACTTTTGAAGGGGTTTCTGATTTTTTTTTCAATTCGTCATAGTCAGTTTCCTGTAGTTTCACTTTGTCCACAGCCTATTAAAATGATTTTAAAACTAATGCTTTTTAACCCTTGATGCATCAAATCCAGATCGGCATAATTTAATTTTTTTTGTTTGTTTTGCCTTTAAGATACGATTAATACATAAATATGATTGTTGATTGTTACTACAGACTTACAGTATTTTGTGCATTATTTATTTGGCATTCAAATAGATTTTTCTTTTGAAAATCTGATTATCGATTTAACTATCATAATCACATTGAATAAAATTAAAAATAAATAAAATAAACATTTCTAGGAAGAATAAATAATTAACTATTCATTAAATACAGTAGAATTGTTACAATTCCCATCATTCTAATTTTTTTTTTAAGGAAAATTTTATTTTAGACACTCAGCAACTAATTAGCTTGATTTTTCTAAGATCTCAATGTTCAAACTGATCCTCACTGATTATTTTCAACACTAAGCTTTGATTCGCCAAACTATGAAATAGAAGCTTAACTAAACCGAGGTCCAGAAAATCTGCAAAACTTTTGAGAACATAAAGGGCTATTCATTTTTCGCGAGTCATTTATATCTTGCGTCTAACGCATAGAAACCGGTGTCAAATCATGGCTTAAGAGGCCATGATCACACGAACGAGAGTTCAATTTGGACCATTTAATTTAATTTGAACCTTTGTTGAAATCAGTTACAATTTCAAATATCTCACAGGGGATTGACCTTCAATATAAGTTTTCGTTTCGTTTTCCGGTTCAAAACAGAATAACGATACAGTAACAAACATAAAATTTCATTCGGTGCAACCCCACTTATAAACTGTATTTGATTTAAATGAGCTATTATCACATATTTAGTAGTTTTATTTTATATATTAGTGCAGTTATTTGGTATACTTTCTAGATGAAAGTTTTATTTAAATCATTTTTAAAAAGTCGTAAAATTTAGCGATTTAAAGAGTCATACAGCGAAACCGCTAGAAAGTGGTGCAAGTAGTACTTTATTTATGCCGCAGTCGTGTTGACTCTCACAATTTTTATCTTCTGCAGAGGGGATGGCTCCCTACTTTGGTAGTCTGATGACCGGTCCCTTACCAGGCTGATCAATCCGTTCACTGAGAGCCACGATGGCTCAGGGGATAGAGCGTTCGCCTTCCAATGAGGCAAACCGGGTTTGAATACCAGTCGATACGAATTCCGCATCCGNGACCACAGTGCTGATGAAAAGTATCCTCAGTGGTTGATGATTTAGGACAGGGATGGGGAAACTACGGCCAGCGGGGCAACTATGGCCCGCCGGAAGGTTTTATCCGGCCCGCGGATAGAATTTTAACTTGCTGATCTTTGGCGAATATAAACAACATACATCCATTTTCTTGTCTACTTTGTTTAAAGTTATTTTTCTTTCTTTTTTATCTAAGTTCTGCGGACCTTTTAACTTTCCCTATTTTTGTTCTACAAAACATAAATTGATGGAAGTAGCTAGCTCAGACAGCTTCAATTGGTAAAATGTTGAAAGCAGAAGTTCTTTATAGAATAGCCGTAGATTGGTTTTACAAATCATTACAAAAAGCTAGTTTCCCAAATATTTCATACCTAGAAAATCATTTCATACCTAGAAAATCAGGGCTATGCTTGCTTCCTTTTATTTATGTGTGAACAGGTGTTTTCATCTACGAACCTGATAAAAAATCATTTCAGAAGTAGAATAACAGATAAACATTTAACCTTGTTCCTTAAAATAGGTACATCTCACTTGGAACCTCAATATAAGGAGCTTTTAAAAATGAAATCGCAATTTCATTCATCTCATTAAATACTTACATTGAAAATCGCATATAGTATTTTTTATTTTATTTTAGATGTTTTTATTTATCCCGCCAAAAATTTTTTCCTTCGATTTTTGGCCCTCGACCAAATAAGTTTGCCCATCCCTGGTCAAAGGAGTCAAAATGTTGTCGCGAATCGAAAGGTTTTTATTATTAAAAGTATGAAGAAAGATGTAAACCAACATATTATATTTTTATCAAATTATTTCAATTAAAAGAAGTACTGTAAAAATAAAATAGCTTACTAAAAGTGCCCCGCCATCCAAGCATGAGAGCTGTCTCTCCAACAAAACTTTCTTCACGAGGTAAACAAATAAAAGGCCTTGAGACTTTTCTTGAGAGCTTTAACAAAGCGATGTCATATTGCATCGTTCTTGCATTGTATTGAGCATGTCTTTTAATCTCTATAACTTCATATTCTTGAGGATTACTATCTTCTGAAGAAGGTCCCAAAACAACCACTATTTGGTTATGTGGAATCCTGCAATAAATTTTGAGCAGTATTCTGATGAATAAAAATAATGCTTTTCGTTCTATTTACATTTCTTACAAAATTTTAAGATCTTCTCAATTACATTGAAAGCACATTTTTAAATATTTAATACGGTCGTTTAATAAGCGGTGCCATTTCAAAAATATTTTGTACAATTTACGAGTAAAATGGGTTTGTCGGATATACAAGACGAACCAAATCTACTGCAATTATGTACATTACAATCATTAAAAACGCAATTGCAAAAATTTGCGAAAAAAACTATTTTTGAATTAGATACAAAATTTATTTAATACAAGAGCCAAACTTTGCTGTAAAGTACCAAATGACATTATACATTCTGAGTAAGCTGATAACTGCTATAAAGTTTATAAGACTAACATAAATAAAATAGGTATCTCAAGACTACCTAAAAATGACATTGACCCCAGAGAGTGTTTTATGTTACTTTAAATTCATTTTACTAGTGTTAATAATTATAAATACCGTTCAAATATTAAGCTAAATGGCCTTCCTCAATGATTACGTGATGTTACCATGTTTCAGCCCATAGACGTATTTGAGTATTTTCCGATGCTTTTAAGTTTACGATTGTTTCATTCAACGTACAACTTTTCATTAGACTTTCTATAATTTACCTAAAAGTTAACTTTAAGTAGTAAAAACATTTAAGTTAACTTAAGTGTTTCAAAGTTAACTTAAGTGTTCAGTCAAAATAATCGAAAATTTTGTAAAGGAAAACCTTATAGATCCAATAAAAAGAGAATACTCGAATACTCACTTTCTAGTACAATGTGCTGCAGTTAGAACATATCGAGGATTTATCAATATGCTACCACAAAAGATCTTACGGGTTGAAACAGATATGAGTGGTGCCTACAAAAGAATTCAAGTATTTATTGAATGTTATTTTGGTTTCGCAAAAGGTAGATATTTTACAAATGTTTTTTTTAAAAAAATACAGAAAATTTAATACAGCAAATTGAAAATATTTTATTTTTAGATTTTTTAGATTTTTGATCGTATATAGAGATATTTGACCGTTCACGTACGTTTTGGACGTACTGCATATTAAATTTTCAGTGGCATACGAATTCTATAGAACTCAATTACTAGCGTGAGTCCTATTTACAACTCTGAATTTAAAAGAAATTCAATTTCAATGCTTATTAATCCTTTTTTTTTAAAATCAGATTATTTGTAAAGCAAATAAAGAGTCACGTTACCCTAAAATTGACATGTGCAAAAATACGTATTGCTTGTAAGAAACTTAACAAATTGAAACAAATTCTATTATAAAATTATCTGAAAGAAATTCATCCTTATTTACACGCTTTAAAAAGCTATGAAGCGGTCTTAAGCAAAAACAAAATTTATTTTTTTGCATGGATGCTTTTTTGAATCCCTAAGGATAGTAAAAATAGAATTTAACTAAAATTTTCCGCAATTAGCATGATAAATGCATGCATAGAATAAGAATTTTAAAAGTTAAGTCTGATATTTTTTGAATATCCGTAAAAAAATATTTAATTCATATATAATGAAATGAATGCACAATAATCATTGATGCTAAAAAATTTTGAATAATATGCAAAAAGCTTTCGGGATTTATAAATTAGAATTTTAAAAAAAACATACCGCTATGTTTAGGTCTGACAACTTTGCTACGCTTTTCGTAAAAATTTTCGAATTCTTGCTAAAATGTATGTACATTAAGAGTCGAAAATCAATAATTGAAAAAAAAACGCTTTTGAAATCTGACAAATCACAGTTTAGAAAAGAGAAACGTCATTTTAAATAAAAACAATAGTTTTATTTAAAATAATGAATACACGATGAACGCAAACTGTCCTATTTTGCGAAAAGCAGGAATTAATTTTTGAAGAGGTTATGCGAAACTTTGAAAAAAAAATTTCAAAAGATAATCAGATTCATAGGATACAATATAAGAATACAAGAATAAAAAATCTAAACAGATGTATTTGTAAGAGTTACACATGAAAGAAATTAAAGATTTTATTTCGGTGTGATATTTCTTGAAACAAATTACCACACGAAGCTGGACTTCGGGATATGAGACTCTGCAATATAAAATACTTTGGAAACATTTGAGTTTTAATGCTAAATCTTCATTGTACACGACTATTAAGCGAGACATATGCATCTCAATGGAGATTTAGCCCTACGTGTAAACTCGTCAAATACACTTAGCTGGTTAATTCATCGGGCAAACAGGAAAGTTTGTGTTTGCAAACCCACCTTCCTTCGTTGTGACGTCTTTTTTCGATTAGAATTTCTTTCCATCGATTTTATATATGACCTTCATTGTGCATACTTTGTCTCTCTTCTTAATAAAGAGCAAAAATATATAATAAGAGCAGCCTTTATAGAATACTAATATGGGTTTTGGTCTCATTTTTACTCTCCACTTTTAATCAGGTTAAATTTACTTAACGTGAACTGTTTCTTAACTATTTAATACTCAAATTCAGCGAGTTTTGTTCCAAACATTTTTTTTACCGTTATTCTATTTCATATTCTGTATTAAAATTTTGGTACTTAATGCAACCACGAGTGGTGGCTTAGCTAAGACCAGCCATGTGTGCACAGTGCAGAAGGAAAAAAAACTGGACACCCTGAATTACTTTTGATCTAATGATCGGATCTTCGCGCACTATGATTCAATTTTAATGGTTTCAAGTCGTGACCATAAATATGCAAATTAGTGCAAACGATATTTTAAGTTATGAAATCAAACACAAAAACGCGCGCCTTAGAAACTGTCAGACACTATCAAGATATTTATTGATTAGTTGTGTACACTATATCACACCTGTGAACTCGAAGATAAAATTTTTTTAAAATTTTTTTTCCTAGAAAAAGTCAAATCTGGTCGTACCGGGCAGACACTATGGAAAATTTAGAAATATTAGAATTTCAGTGGAAAAAGTAGCACACATTTCTATGTTATGACAATTTAAGAAAATCATGCATGTAATTAACATGGGATGTAATCAATGCCGTACTCAAGGACGGGGGCAGCTAAGGACTCAGCCAAAATTCCTTTCAAAAATATAGTGTTTAGTAGTTATTTTAAGGAAATTACAGTAAATTTCCTCATATCTATGTAAAAACCATAATTTTATATAAAGAGTCCTCAAAAATTCCACAAATATGAAAAGTTACCCCTGTCCATCAGAGCTCGCCGTGCACTGCATCGCTTTAAAAGATAATTTATAATTATTTCGAACTAGAAATTTTTTTTAAATTTTACTGAAAGGGGATGAAATAAAACCATGAAGTTTAAATAGGACCACTAGAACAGAAAGCCACCTTAAGTTCTCAATACGTACCGAAATACGCAAAAAGTGAAATAAACATTAAGGGATCCAAACTTTCGACTGCTTTCCTATTTCATTCAGACCATATTTTTCCTAAATGTGACATATATTTTTAGGGCGAGGAATTAGTCAACAAAAGGTACGTTTATTCAGATAAAGTACGTTTTGTGTCTAATTTCGTAACTCAAAATATCATTTGCATTAATTAATTAGCATTTTGGGGTCAAGCTCTTAAACCATTGAGACCTAATACGGGAAAATCCGATTATTAGATCAAAAGTTAAAGATTTTTATTTTGAGCACTGCACTTTATGAGCATGGGGTTCACTGATTATACTTTCAGTATGCTCAGTATAATGCAGGATGAATTAAATATCTTTTCTAACCAACCCAGTAAAAATTGTGGTTATTTGAAAGTCTTACCATCCATGGCCACGTGTCAGATTCTTCTTGCATTTTACCACATTCTAGAAAAACAAAAGTTAGTTTTTATTCAATATGAAATTTTAACATAAATTTCTCTTTCAATTTATGAAACAACCATCTTTTGATGATAGAATATGACAAACTTAAGGCAAAGTGCATATTAACCCTTTGACGCAGAATTTTCATTACATATTTTTAATTAATTTGTATTATTTTAGGCCAAAATAAGTGGAAAATATGTTTTAACAATTCATAGTTATGAAATACAGCATGGGACAAGGTAAAATCTTCCGAACATGGCTCATTTTCTAACTATTTTTCAAATTTGCAGCTATTTAGATAAAGTATTTCATCATTCTTTCATTTACAAAATTAATTATTGATACATTTTGGAATATGAATGAAAAAAACTAAATTTTTTAAATTTTTTTTATTTAAGTGCACATTTGTAAAGGTTTTCTTATAATTAAAAAATAGCAAAATATATTTTACTATATAAAAGGGTATAATAATAAAATATATAAATGGGTATCCCACCTACTTTTATTCACTATTAACACTGAAAACATTAAAATCTATTGATAAACAAATCTGACTATGGGTGTCATTGTCTAGGACACTAATTTTAGTACTATGAAAGAATGTTGAAGAAGTGCAATTAAAATGCAAATGAAATTAAATTTTATGAAATTGTTGGGAGCAGTTTTAACAATAAATTCTATAAAAATCTACCGTAAAAAACAGCTTTAAGTGAATTTTGTGACAGTTAAAGACTAACCAAATATAAAAGACTTGGCTGATGAAGTTCAATAACAAGTGGTGGACTAAATGTCATTAAATATATGAAGTTTTTAAATGTTGCAGATACTTATATTATTGAATTAATGCTTTTCGAAAGAAAAGTAAAAAACGAATTTAGCTGAAGAGTTTTAAAGAGTCGTGCTAAATTTTTTAAGCAAAAAAATAAAGGCAATAACATTTTGAATTTTATCGATACACCTCTTTTCATCATGTAAAAAATATCTAACATAATTTTCTCAATTTTATTAAATCACTTATTTAACCGCTAAATTCAGTTTACAAGCTCGATGTTAAGTTTAGGCTGGAAAAAAAATAGTAGCGTTTTTTTTTTCGTTTTTATTAGAGTGAAAATATACTGCTGATTGGATCGAAATCATTATAAAGATCTATCAAACAGTTATACAATTTGATTTATTATGTTCAGAATATTCTGCAAAACAAATAAAAAAAAATTTTTTTTACACAAATAGGTAACTAATTTTCACTTTTTCATAAAATTAAATAGTTATCCTTAAAATAATTCTGACAGCAATCTCTTTTGTGTCAAATCTTCGCAATTTGAGTTACTCATCAAATCTTACTTTAAATCAAATTAAACGAGTTGAGTGCGTTGTCGATTACTATTTTTAAGCCTTATATGAAAACTGGAATTACTGTATAATAACTGAATATATTGAAAATTTGTCCTAATGTTGAGACGGTTATATGTTATATTAGGAAGTGAAGCAGGTTTATTACCTTCAGATTTCGTTTCAAAAGGTTCTTGATCATTACTTGAAACATTCTCCCAATCAACTTTTAAGATTTCAGCTGGAAACTCAGGACAGCAAATGCCAATAAATAATTCATCTATAGGACACAATTTTTTTATTAAGTCATCCAACGTAAGTTGAAAGTTCGGTGTAGGACATAATTGAATTGGCATACAGTTTCCGGGTTCATCATTTGAAGTCGTACATTTTTTAAACTTATTACGTTCTTGAGAAAGAAAACTTGGTAATACTGGCCAAAAATTGGAATTTGAAAATGTCTCTGAAGCTCTTTCATTTAGAAGTCCACTACCAGCATCAAATTGTTCATTGTCATCGATGAAGAGATCTTCATTTGTAAAACTTTCAGATGACTCAATGTCTTGTTTAGAATGACTTGGAGGAAGCTTTTCTAAATGGCTTGGAGGAAGCTTTTCTAAATGGCTTGGAAAATATTCCATTTCAGTAGAGTATTTTACGTGTTCTTCGTTATGCTTGTTGGGATTTTTATTCAACCTAGCGTCAAGTACAACGGGATCATGAGATTTGATTGAATGGTCTTTGACTGGGTATTTCTTTGTGAAATCTTCCTTTTTCACAAGAGCTTCTATGATAACTGGGCTGTCATACATTTCATTTACAGGATTTTCTGAATCTTGGTTCTTTTTAACAAGTGCTTCGACGATGACTGGACTATCGTAATCCTGGTCTCGTTCGATAGGATGAAATATAGATTTGTTTTCAAGCATTTCCTCGTAATCAACTGCTTCCATCTCATTTTGACTTTTTGTTAATACATCTTTATTATCTTCATAGTTATTTCCAAATTTAGATTCTTCCTCTGATATTTTAGTATCTAGTTTTTCATTATGATATTGTAGAAATGGCTTCTTGTTTATGACTTCATCTTTAATATTTTCGGTCTGCTTTTTAGAGATTTCTTTTGCTAAACTTTCTAGATATGTCTGAGAGTTATGGTCCTGATGTATCAAAATTTCATCTTTATTTTCATAATTGTTTGGCGTTTTTTCTTTTACTTCATGTTTTGAAACTTTCGCTGGATCAAATCCCTGTTCAGAAGATTTTATTTTAATTGCTTTTGTAACTTCAGGTTTTTTCTTTTCAGGTCTAATGATGACTGTATCATGATCATTTTTTAAATGATTGACTTTAGTAACAACATCTATAACAAGTGGATGATCTGCATGAATTTGTTTAGTTCTGGAATCTTTTCCCATTTTTATATATTCAGATGCTTGGAATAGTTGTCCAGTTGATATGGATTCTTTTTGTAGTTTATGAGCTGCAGCTTCTAGTTTTTCGTTATGATATTGCGGAAATGGCTTCTTATTTATAACTTCATTTTTAATATTTTCTGTCTGCTTTTCAAAGATTTCTTTTGTTAAGCTTTCTAGATCTGTAGGAGAATGATGGTCCTGATGTATCAAAATTCCATCTTTCTTTTCATAATTTATTGGCGTTTTTTCTTTTACTTCATGCTTTGGTACTTTCACTGGATCAAATCTTATAAAGCTGTCTGTTTGGGTTTCTTTTACAGCATAACCATCAGTTTCATAAGTTTTATGTTTAAGATGTTTCTTACCATGTTCAGAAGATTTTATTTTAATTGCTTTAGTAACTTCGGGTTTCCTCTTTACAGGTCTAATAGTAACTGTATCATGATCATATTTCAAATGATTGGCTTTTGTGACAACGTCTATTACAAGAGGATGATCCACTTTAGTTTGTTTAGTTTCCGAATCTTTTCCAATTTTTATATATTCAGATGTTGGGAATAGTTGTTCACTTGGCAATTCTTTTTGTTTTACATTGGGTTCAAAAGGACTCTTTGGAATGTAATTTTGGTACATTTTTGTGGGTCGTGCTTTTAATATATTTGGCGGTGTAATATTTTCGCCAAAAGGAATAAAAATTGGTTTTCCATCCACGTGTGGTACATATCGCATCTCATAACCACCAGACACTTCTTTCAAATATAAATTTTCATTCATATGGCCATATGTTCCTAAGTATACAGGAAAGAAAATAATTAGTAGCATAAATTTATTGACATTAATGAAATTAAGGAATAGTCATACCTTTAACGTTATCTTTGCTAGCCCAGAAAGCCTTTGCATTTACGTGGTGGTGAAAAAAGCCAATTGTGAAGACTAAATATTCCAAAAGCTGAAAATAACGTGCATGATGTGTATAAAACTAGTTTGTAAGCTTTTTTTAATTCTAGTCACAGCTCAAAATGAGTGTTAAAGAAAATGTCCTAAAATTAGCCATTTCAATATTCAAAACAAATTTAGCAGCTAAGGGAGGATTTTTGTACTTACTTAAACACTAAGCGCATTCATTACTTTGTCGGGAGGCTTGGGTATATTATAATAGTAATCTTTTCCTATTCGCATTACTAAACGAAAAAACTTTTCAAGAATGAAAAATCATACTACGAAAATTTAATATCACTATTAAAAATTTATTAGACCAGTGAAAACTTTTTAAAATCAACTGTTGACTTTAAAAATATTTTCAAAAGAGACTAATTTAAAAAAAAATGTTTTAAGTGATTTAGGCAAATAAATGACATCACATTACGAATCCATTATTCATTAAACAATTTTCAGAGAATTTTGAATCAAATGCTTTCCTAAGCACGCCTTTTGATCCAGAATTAAAGATCCCTGACGTTTTGTTGTTAAACCTTGTAAAAGGGATCAAGTAGACTCCCATTTAAAATTACGTATAAAAGACTTAAATTTTTAAGGGAAAGCATTAAACAGTAATAGTCTTAAATTTAGGTGAAAGGATAGCATACTATGTTTTTAACATAGTTTTCTGATTCTAGTCCAAAACAAACAAATTGTTTTCACAAATGGCATCGTATAATAGAAAGTAAACGCTTTAAACAAATTGAAAAAAATCACTCATAGTGATCAACATTTCGAAAAATCTTTCAGTAAACGAAATTCACATTATTCAATAATTTGTTTTAAAAATATCTACAACCAAGTACAATCACTCATCGCAGTGCGCTGTTGAGATGTGAATNTATTATTAGTGAGTTCAAAAAGAAAATTAAAAAACTTAATAACAAAATCCAACATTTTTTATTTACAATGTATTAAACAAATGCATAAAACTCGAAAATGAATGAAAATAACTTGTGTGACAAGCTTTCCTTTCCCCCTACACTTGCTAATGAATATTTTTATTCATTTTGCAAAATAATTACATTTCCAAAGCATTTTGTTTTCAGAAAGCTTACCGAGTTTTAGAAAAAAGTAACGATTTCATTCGACATTTCCGTTACAAATACTTGTACTTTTCCCCTAAGAAAGTAACGAAAGTACAAGTAAAAGTACTAAATTTAAAAAGTAACGAAGTACAAGTAAAAGTACGTACTTTTACTTGTACCGGCGGTACAAGTAACGAAAGTAAAAGTACTGCCATATATGGTCTATATGAACTGCATCTATATACTTACTATACAATTATTATTTCAATTATGAAATTTAATTTTAAATAAGCATAGATCTTATTAGAAATAAAAGTTTCAAAATAATTTTGAAATTAAGAACACTGAATATTCTCGGCATTTAAATTTTTTTTTTTTTTTTACATTAGAATAATTTTAACATTAGAATAATTGAATTAGACTAAATTGAAGGAATTTAAGTCGTCTAGGTGGCTCTGATTTTATCAATGAGCAACTTTTTTTCGACTTTCTACAACTTATTTAAAATTTTAATTTGGATTCTGTTTTTTTTTTTTTAATATAGGAGTTTAATATAAGCGCAAGCCTTAATTAAACGTAAAACTCTTTTACGAAATAATGAAAATGACGTTTGTAATATAATTTTATTACAGTTAAAAGTTGAAGGTGAAAAGATCATAAGTGTGGAGAAGTCATAAGAAATCATGTTTAAACAACACCTTAAAAAGGCATTCAAATTTTCCCTTTAAAATATTAGCTTAAAGAAATTGAATTAAAAAGGTATTTTTTCTAATTAAAAAAGCTTCATTTTTTGAACTTTCATAAATTTATTGAGTAAAAAGATGAAATTTTTTTCCAATATTCATGTGCAAGTATGAATTTAAGCAAAAATCTATACTCAAACTAATACTAAACTTTAACTTGATAGGATTATTAAAAATCGAGCAGGTTTGCGAATCAGATCGGAAAAAATTTGAATTTAGAATAGATTTAATGATATAGCTTCGAACAAATAGCTTTAAATTAGCAGAAGATTCCAATTCAGAAAATGAATGTTATTTTCAGTTTTCAATATTTTTACTGCAACTTTGTAAGTGTTTTTTAGGACACTGCGTGAAATTGTTCAGAATAAAACAGGTCATAAAATTTTTGCTCAAAAAATTGTTTTCCGTAAATTTTTTACTCCTCTTTTCAAAAAAGCAAGGCCTTTCAAGATTTGTCATTCCTAAATTGTCAGATTTTGTAAAAAGTTAAGGCAGTCAGTATTATTTCGGAAAAATTTTTGCAATCAAAATTGTTTTCAGTGTAAGGTTATAAGAGTTAAGAACTGCTCTGAAAGAATACAATTATTGCTATGCAAACGAGTTCTACAGTTTGGTCTTAGAGAAACTGCTAAAAGATGCAATAAATTTCTGCTAATATTTTACATGATAAATCTACGTTATTTAGAGTAAAGGAATTTTTTTTTTATTCGTAATAACCGGATGAAAAAATATGTACATTTGGTTCAAATGAATATTTAAGAAAATGGTCAAAACATTTGATTCGATTTTTCGAACTTCTTTTATAAAAATAGTTCTTTAAAGGAATAAACAAGTGGATCCAAAAAAAATTTGTAACGTGATGTCCATTTGCGTAAATCACTTAATATTTTTTTTAAATCAGTCTTTTGATAAAGACTAAAATTCAAAAGTTGTTTTTGCAAGGTTGTCACGGGCCTTATAAATTTATAAACTGAACTCAGTATCGTGACAGCCCACAGAGGGCGAAGGCCTATTGTGCCCATCTCAGTTTTCTTGATCTTGGACTCTGAGGTACAGGAGCAGATGTTCTGGTTAGGTGGTCAGCCGAACGCGAAATCCCCAGTGTTAAGTTCCCAAGCATGCTTGGTACTTATTTATCGACCTACTGAAGCGATGAAAGGCTGAGTCAACCTTGCCCGGCCTGAGGATCGAACTCAGGACCGTTCAGGCACGACTCAGCACAGACCGAACTCAAGCGCTACCATTCAGTCACCGGGCGTCTTATCTATCATAGTATTAATTTTTCTAAGTACGAATTGAGGTGTTTAAAAATCACTTTAGCGTCTAGAAGTCGGAATACAAAGAAATAGCCTAAAAAGTTACATTTGTAATTTACCTAACCACCCAGACTTTGGGATTTTGATTAATAATTATTGTGCTTGGTACTCAAAAAATTTACTGCGAAATTCCTTGATCAGTTAAATTGGGGTTGAACATTGAAAAGGCGCATATTTTGCTGCGTCTATTTCCGTAAAAACGCATTTTGTGCTGTGTCCAGAATAAAAACCTCTGGGATGTAATGCAAAATTGTTAAAAATCAAGAGAAATCTTCATTTATAAATAATATTCTACGAAATTTTTGAACAAATTTACGAGTTAAGCTTTTGCCCGTAGATGATTAACACCTGAATGCATTATAATCTAATGATTACATTTCCACCGATTACGGGTTCACCATAAAAATACTATATTAATGCAGATTACAAAAAGATTACGGAATTCAAAAACCATTTTCTCGGTAAACACTATTTTTCAAACGGATTCTTATACCTTAAAACATGACTTGACAGTTTTGACAAGAGTGCAGTCAAAAATTTGTACCTTTAAACGTAAACTCCATTTTTTTAAAGTATTTCTTCGTCTCCGGAACTTACAAAGAAAATATTATACAGTTTTAAAATTTGTATTTTTAAAAGATAATTTCATTCAAAATAAATCATTTAATAATAAAAGATTTATTATTTAATTAAATGTTAATTAAAAAAAAATCTTTGAAAATTTGTAGTTGCAAATGTTTACATAATTTTTAACTGTAATATTGACAAAACCAAATTTGAAAGAATATTTGTCATTTAGTGAGCGAGAAATGAAAACTTACACGGCTATTAACTTTTTTGAATTTAAAAGTATTACTTCACATTGTTTACTAAAACGATCTTTTTTTTATTTTTGTTTTGCCACAGAAAATATTTTCTGGGAACTATTTACATGACCTTGAAATATAAATTCAGTGAATCTCTCAAATTTTTTGATTTTGTATTAGACTGAATCATTTCTTTAGGATCTTTTTTTAAAAATAACGGCAGGCACTGAACTTTGAAGATGCCGGAAGTGATGCTCATTTATCGATACAACAGTACCCACGCCACAGATACCACAATCTGCCACATATTCACAGAGAAACATTCTATGCCCTTTGCGGGATTTGAGCCCGCAGCCATTTGCTTCGCAATCAAGCACTCTAACCACTTGGTCGGCTCTTTGGGATTTTGAAAGTACTTTAATGCAGTGTTTTTCAATCAAATTTACTCGAAGAACCGGTAAAATATTTCAGTATTTTATCGTGAATCATTAATGTAAGATTTACTGGCTTCATTTTTCCAAATTTGTGGCACTTAAACACATTTTTGACAAGTTTATTAGTGATCATTCACATACTCTACAACGAAAATTTCAAGCTTATACTCTATTTAAAAATAAAAATTTATACTAATTTAATACAAATATTAATTTTGCTATTTATCAAACAAAATGGCGAAACAAAATTATACAATAGTGCGTAATAGTAAAAGAATACAACTAAATATGAAATAAAAATAAGTATTCAACAGTAAATAACAATTTAATATGATTGCTGACTAACGAATCACTTCTAAGTGCCTTTTTAGTTTCAATAACACGTAAAGCAGTCAAGTTGAATTCGATACTTTGTTTTAATAACTCTCAAAACAGAAAATTTCATTTCACGTAAATAAGTTGAAAAAAAAGGCAATAAAATTTTAACTGCTTTTGCATAAAGATGGGGTATTTTTTCCTAGTTTCTATCCAGAACTGATGTGTTTTTATTTGCGATTTTATTCCTAGATATGGCGAGGATTCTAAAAGTTTTCCTTCTTTGGAACAAAGATTATCTTGGTTTTCAATAAATGGATTAATTATCCGCAAATTCTTCTCTGGAGGATCATTAAAAGCTAAATCAAGTTTATTAAAGTGCTCCAAAATTACTCGTGACGCTTTCCATATTTATAAAATCGCAGAAATAAGAAAATACTTCTAAGTTCTCTTGTATAAAATTATACCAAAAACAAAAAAACTGAGAAGGAAAAAATTGTTCCAATAAAAATCCTTCTAATAGGTATTTATTGAATTCGATATAAATTTAAAGAAAACAATCTTCGATATTTAGCGCAGAATTCATTTTCACCACAAGCCTTGGACACTAAGTTTATCCGTGCGGACACTCCGAAATTTTTGTATTTATTTAAACATTCAATTCCTAAGTTTGTACCTGAGTTACCATTTACTCATATAAAATATTCAATGCCTCTTATTTATCTTACTGGCTTTGCAGTTAAGACTATAGTACTTTCGTCATTTCATCATTGAATATATAATAAACCGGATTTCTACTTAGCAAATTGGCATGGCTGCTACAGTTGTTAAATTTCAGAAACATTTTTAACTGAATCAAGAAATTTTTGAACACAATTTTAAACTCCGTTCAAACACTTTAATTATTAAACACTTTATGAAAAAAATGTAAAAAATGTATGTAATGAAAAAAGTATGCTTAATAAAAATCGCTGGAATGCAAATAACTTAGTTTTCTTCAGTTTAAGAAGGTGTGATCGAAGACATAAGTGGTGACCAAAATGGATTACTTCAGTTTATTTTCAAAAATGAATGCTCAAAAGAGTTTTAACATTCATTCCATATGATGAACGGGGATAGCCGAAACTTCTCATCAGGGCAGATTATTTCTGCAGCTGCAGATTAATATTTATCCAAATTTATCCTTAAAAACAAATGAGGTTAAAACAGTCGAAATTCCTTTTTAAAACATTTAGCATGTGATAAAAATTAAAAGCACCACAAAGAACAAGGAATTTTTTTTAATCTGTTATTTGATAACAGACAAACCAGTATAGGAATTTATTCCATTTTTTAGAATATAAAATACTTAAAACAAAATTCTTATGTATATTTTTTAAGGTTTCAAAGTTAGCTACATGAATCTGAATTTTTACAATCAATCTCTGACTTTAAGATCACAGACAAAGCTTTATTTATGAAGTAGTGTTTCACTCCTTAAATTCTGATACGGGGGTGGTATAAATACTTAAATATTAATGAAACTAATTTTTGATGCATCATTTTATAACGATAAAATATAGCTCATAATTGAAAGGAAATTCCTTATAGATATAAACATTAGAACTGTCTCTATAAAATATTTTTAAAATAAACGATAAAATTTCTCCTAAAATTTAAAAACTCATCCGTAAACTCATTAATACATTAAAATAATGGAAGAACACAAATAAGCAATACAATAAATTATAAAATAAATTAATCTGATCTGAAAGTAATTTCTTTTAAAGAGTATTCAATGGTAGGATACAAAAAATTTCATCCATAATTTGAATAATTTGTTATCTAAATTAATGCTGAATAAAAACTCATTACAAATGAAATTATATAAATTACAATTAAAAAATATTTATGTATGTTGATCTCAAAATTTCACTTCATATTAAACTTTTACTAAGAGTGAACTTGGAAATTCAGTTGAAAATTGTTATTAGGTTTTTTACTTAAAGAATTTCAAATGCTGCATTTTAAAAGAATTTAATGTAAGTTTAAGTGATTAGAATCATTTTAAATAAATTGCACAAAGAGATTTTTTGAATAAAATGCGAATTATATTTAATTTACCCTCCATTCACTTTCACCAAATTTAAAGATAGGAAAATTTCTGAAACAAATTGGATAAAATAATGTTCCACTTGTCAAAAAATAAACTCTCATTGCTTAATATTTTTTAAATATAAATAAAGCACAGATTTGTATCTATTTTAGGTATGGCGTATTATCTTGGTCGTATTTACGCGCTTTAAATAGTCCTAAGACATATCATATTTTGATGTGAATACACGGCCATTTGAAATGTTTTAAGTTACGCTAAAGCGATACAAGTTATGTCAGAAATGTTACTTTCTTCCCCAATGTATTGTTGCATGCATGATAAAAAAAATAATTAAACATTCTTTAAAATTCTTTTAAAATGTATGATATATATTTCTAAAAACAAATTTTTACATAATTTTCCAGCATCCAAGTTAAAAATCCTGAAATTATAAGTAGACAAAAAATTCGCGCAAGTAGAATTTTGCAAAACAGCATTTTTCATACTTTAGCTTTATTTATGAAGGCTATAAAGTTTATCATACTGATGGGATATTATTTGTGTTAGACTACCATATTACGAAAGATAAAGTTAAACATCGTTCCTTTTCAATAAGGCATTTTTGTAAATTATTATTTTGAATATTCAAAGATTAAGACATTGTTCAATATGGCTCTTTGCTGGATTGAATGACCGCAAAATATTAAAAGTTATATAACTTCTGTTGCACTATTCCGTATATAGTTATATCTATTACGTTGTCTTTATGTATTGGAAAGTCCAGAAATAACTCATGCAAGTTTAAATTGACTTCATAAAGAGTAAAAAATGTTCTATTGCACACACATATAAGTATTTTTATTACATTACAGCATTAAGACATCATATATTATGCGATAAATCAAATTTTTGCAGTGCAGCTACGTTAACAGTTTTTTAAATACATAACTAAAGTTTATGGAAGTACTAAATAAAAACTCAACAAAACAAAATAATTTTGCTAAACAACGGCCTATATGAGAAAGTACTCACCCTCATTTTCAATTTAGCACTATAAGACAACCATCAACATAGCACAAGACAAAGTAAGATCGAAACTAAACAGATGAAAGAGAAATTATGTATAAGTAGAAAATAAGCTACTAAAGTTTAGAACAAGCAACTAAAGGGGCGTGGTAAGAGGCATATAGTTGTAAAAGGATGTAGGCTACATCTCTTCCACTAAACGCTTCAATACATAGCAGGTTCGATTGATGCAGTAAAATAGACTACATGCATATGTAGCTTGTATGTTCATTATTAAGCACGGCTTATAAACCTTCGGCAAATTGGAGAACATACACCATACGTTATAGAGGGACATTACAAAGTTACGGCAGGATTCGAACCCCGCTACCTCCAAGTTACAGAATGTTTTGAGGGAGGCATAAATTTGATTTTAATTTGATGATAATGTATCGGAGGATTTTGCTTTTATCCTTTGTATTTTACGGAGGTTCGGGAAACAAACTTTCACGAGGCAACAAACTTTCTCTAAGTTTTACCTAAAACTTAGCATAATAACTAAGAAAGGAAACATACAATAGTCTGAAAGTGTGAAACTGAAAATAATCTTATTTATAGATGCTCATCACAAAGCACGGCCTTATCAAAATGAAGTAGTAGCAGTACTTTATTTAGGTCGACGGTCTAGGAAACACCCCTCAGGATGATCCGACGGCATGCCTCTGCGGAGGGAATGGCTCCGATGTCTTGGTAGTCCGACGATTTGTGCACGACGTTGAGGGCTTTTCGATAGAACAATTTAACGAGAACCAATATCGCGTACTCCCGATCTCTTTACAGGCTGATTTAAGTGGTCACCCACCCTCTCACTGACAACTGCCAATGATGCTTGACTTCAGTGACTTACTGGGAACCGTGTCTTAAGATAAGTCCACTGTGAGAACATAACTTATTTGCCCTTAATTAAAATGAAATAATCATGATGATTGGCAGCAAATTACTTGATTGCTACGAAAAAAATATGATGCAGTTAAATTCCCTTCCTCAAATGCGATTCCCTTCCCCATACGCGAATTTTGCCAAACCACAGTCACTCACTTCCTTCATTGTCACTTACTTTCTGGAGAGAAATATGAATCACCTCGCTCTTCGATCGCAATTTCTCTTCTGCTCCCCAACAGCCTTCTCACATTCACTGTAAAAAATGCTGTTTAATAAGTGTCTTAGTCCTTTAAAATTCATGGGCACTCACCTTAACCCGTTTTGTCCCGAATTTATATATTGAAATGATACAAAAAGTGGTTTTATGGAAAAAGCGGTATAATATATTTTCGAAATTAATTGGTTTTTCTACTGTTAGAGCATTCAAAGAGTCTTTGATGGATCAAAAAGTACTTGTTCCTTATAATTCCAGATCTAATCAGAAATAACTAAATCATAATGGTATCTGTGAATCCTTTAATTCACCCAGATAAATGAAAATACTGAAAAAAGTTTCCCACCACAATGAATGTCTTTGAAAAAAGGAACTGTCCTAAATATATGACGCTGGGCGTTAACCGGTTAAGGA